AGGACGGTTGAACTTTCAAAGACATACTAAAGCTGGGTCTGGTCTGGGATGATGCTTCGAAGCTAGCTTCCGCTTTCTCAGAAATGCTCGTTCATGATGAGTAAAGCCGGAGGCAACTGTCACCAATCCAGATAAGTCGTTTTGCTCGTTCGTCCACATTGCAACTCTGAGAGTTGAGACTGAGCAACATGAAGAGAGCATATACGAAAATTGTGTGAGACGACCAAATCCAACGTGACAAACAGGCATACAAAAATAACGTAGACAGGTAAGAGTTCAGTGTGGCCAAATTGGCAATGTTGCGGGTATGAGCTACTATTACGCAGTACGCACACGCCATCGACTTATTTTCGGATGACTGCGACAGTCAGGGGCCAGGACGGGGACAAAGATGGGTGCGATTAGGGGTCGGGTCGGGGGGACGGGACGCTCCCCCACGCCGGCCACCTGCCGGTCAGGACAGAGGGACGAGCGGACGGGACGGGCCCGGAATAGGACAGAAAGGCTGCGTGGGGACAGCGACGCCAGCGAACAGTGAAACGTCAGGGACCACGCACAAAGGACACTTGAAAGGGTTGACGGAGGACTTCCTGACCCTACCAAACATTATTCTTTGCTATTGACGTAGCTTGGTGAGAGCGAGGGCTAAGAACGCGTTATTGGGTCTAAAAACACTTCGGCCGACGATCCTTCCGGTCGAAAATTTTGGCCGTGCGTGCTGTATGCTATGGATACTGAATGCATGAAATAAGCGTATCAGTGCAAATAAATGCTGCTATGACGACCAAAAACCAAACTTTACCTATCTGCACTACGTGACAATATGCCCTCAATAAGCAACATGCTTCGTCTTCCTCGTTATCGTCCAGCCCACTATCCTACCCCTCCTGTTGCCTTTGAACCCATACTGACTGGCTATTCCCCTCGTGGGCCGGTGGCCAGAGACCACTGAAGGCCGTTGGGAGCCTCCCGCTCCCTCCCGTAACCCGTTCGGGCGGCTACCAATCGGTGGACCCCGAACATCGGGACTCACAAATGGCTATGTTTAATGCATAGCCCGGTGAGGAGCCCGCCGCGGGCAGGGGTGAGGCGCCCGGCCCAGGCTGGGGTGTGAGGAGGCTGAGAGGTATGGGTCGAGAGCCGGGGGCGGCGCGGCACGGCGCGGCGGGCACGGGGCCAGCGCGGCGCGCACGGAACGAGCAGCGGCGCAGCACCGTGTGATAAATACGGCTTTCCAGGCGCGCGCCAAGATGGCGCCGATGCGCGTCCGGCGGCGATTACGGCGCACCGGGGGCTATTACGGCGCACAGGCGGCGCCAGGCGACAGCACCATTAATAAGAGGCACATTTCTAGCCCGTAATGGGTGCGCACGAGCTAACGCCCGGACGTGTGTACTGAGAAGTGTGTACGCCGTGCGGCCCTCTGTACTTGACTGAAAGACAAAAGCAGAACGAAGCGCATGCTGTTTGGAAAGGTACGATACCCTCGCTCGTCCCTAGGTAGGTACTGTCTCGTATCACCACAGCACAACTGTCTCTACGAGACGAATAAGTGTTTAAGCAACACTAGATACTGCGAGACGAATAAGTGTTTAAGCAACACGTAGACACTGCACGGATCATATCATGAATGGACTGACATGACAGGAGTCAGGACCCGTGAATGGGTCCATCACTTCAGACATCCAAACTCTCAGACAAACCACACCGCTGGCAGGCACGAAGCTCGCAGTTCACAATAACAACCACAGGTCTCGGTCAACAGCAATGGAACAAAACAGATCACCCCTTCTGTCCCGCATAAAACTCACCTTCGACGTTTCCCATGGCGAGGATGGCGATGGTCTTGACGGCCGGGACGGCCCAGGCGGCTAGATGGAAGTACTGAGAGTTGGCCTCGATCGCCTCCTGGCCCCACTTCAGACCGGCCGCCAGGAACCAGGTGAGCGTCAGGATCACCCACCAGATGCACGAGGCCATGTTGAAGAAGTAGAGGGTCATGAAGACGAACGTGCAGCCCTGGCGCTTGGTGCCCTGCGCGATGGTCGACACCATGTCCAGTTTGGGATACTCTGGCGGCGGCTCAAACGGCTCGTTGCACGAGATGGTGTCGCCCATGGCGAAGGCGATGACGTACGTCAGGGAGACCATGAAGTAGCAGACGCTGAGGAAGATAATGGGACGCTCCGGGTAGCGGAAGCGAGACGTGTCCAGGATGAAGGTGAAGATGGTGAAGGCACACGAGGCCAGGCAGAGTACCGACCAGACGCCCACCCAGCGGCGCGCAAAGTCGCGCTGCCAGTCCGAGAAGAACATGCCGCGGCAGGGCGCGCCGCAGTCGGGCGTCTCGCGCTCGCCCACCCGCAGCCGGTACGACAGGCCCTTGGGCACGCGGAACTGCACCGGGCACACAAAGTCCTTGCCGTCGTGCGGCGGCTGCAGGCTGGTCGGAGGGGTGGCAGCGGGGCTGGAGCTCTCGTTCTGAGCGGCGCACAGCACGTTCGGGCCGGCCTCCGGAAACTTGGAACACTCGAGCTTCTCAGGCCACTTGAAGCCGAACTTGTTCATGAGACTCTCACAGCCGTTGCGAGCCGACAGACAGAGCGAACGGCACGGCGGCAGCGGCTTCTCCAGCTGGGTGCAGACGGGCGCGTACATCAGGCAGAGGAACAGCTGCAGATCGGCGCTGCACTTGACCTTCACCAGCGGGAAGAACTGGTGGACCTCGAGGCCGGCCTCGTCCTGCGTGGCGTGGCCCAGCAGGTTGGGCAGGATGGTCTTGTTGTACTGGATGTCCTTGCAGAGCGGGATGTCGATGTCCTCGCAGCGGTCGTGGTGCGGCAGCTGGTCGCCCTCCACCACCTCAGGTCTCTGAGCGGCCGCCGCCGCCGCCAGCACCAGGCACAGGCTCAGAGTGAGCGCCGCCATCACTGCAGCCAGTCCACCGGAGCACACACAGACACGGGCTCGGCACAGCGGAAAGGGAACCGAGGCGGGGACACTCACAGGGAACAGCGGCGCATTCTGTGAGAGGAAACCGCGAGGAGCCGCCGACGAGTCACCGCTGACGCACACCACACCCTTCCGCTCACACTCCCTTGTCTGCCGACCGGCCGGCACCCGGCGCCGCCGCCGGCCGCCCTCGAGAGCCGAACGCTGATTGGTCGGCTGAGCCACCGGTAGCCAATCATATGAAGTGGTGCATCCGAAGCAGGCTGTGACGTCTAGCCTGATTGGCTGACGGTGGACACTGAGGGATGGGATGCCTCACACAGCGGGGGGGGGGAGACAGAGGTGCAAATTTGACCTTTAACTGGATGTGCAAACTTCGGGGTATCTTTCGCCACCAGTTTCTTTGCGCGTATTAAGAAAAGAGTGGTTTGTGACGAGATGAATCTTATGATATAAAAGAAAACGCCAAAGCTACTGCAGGAAAAATGTTTCAGCAAAATCTGTCTATTGGTTTTCGCCATTAGCAGGCCAAACCGCTGACCTTACGTCAAATCAATTAGCAAAAGAACCTTCAAAAAGCCTCTATGAAATTTGTTTTCTGCGACGCTCTAGCTCTTGGTTTACGAATTATACGACGATAAGTTGAAACCTGTTAAATCAGGAAAATTTAACGTCAAACCTAAATTTACCTTTGGTGGCATCCATGCAGGGACCTGAGGGAAGACGTGATTGATAAATTATTTAAATGGTTTGGAAAAATAGCGATTAATGTTGATAATAGCTGTTTTCACGACGGGCTACCTGGCGAATGCACAAAATTTGACCAAATCTGCACCAAATGTCTTTTACAACAAATAGGTATCTTCATATCATAAATTTATTTCAGTGTTTTAATAACCAAAAAAATGTCTGATAATTCAAAGAAATAAGGTCTATAAGCATCTGTGCAACCCAAACTGACAACTTTTAAGTAACAAAATAAACCTAATTTGACCAAATCTGCACCAAATCTCCACCTAATCTGTACCAAATGTGTACCAGATGGCCGTCGTGAAAACGGCTTTCGTTTACTTTTACCTGATCTGTGATTGCATAGCTGACCTCGAGACCAATTAAGTCAGGTTTCCTGCCACAGTTATCACTGGTCAGTGGTCGGAAATGCCGTTTATCTTCTAAACGTTTATTGTCTAGAAATGTGTTTTGATGTGAAGCTGGTATGTTTTTCTCATAATCGTGTTTTTCTTGTTTAGGCGTGCAAATCATCTATTATTTGAACTTAAATGGCTAACCTAAAACTATAATCTTAAACCTTATGATCTTATACCTTATCGTCGAAAAAATAAACTGATAATGAACGCTTCATACCGAACATGACCTGGGAGGTATAATGTAGGGTCACGAGAGCGATTTTACAAATCAATATTTATTAGACACCTAAAAGACATAAAAACGGCGATGCTCTAAGGTTTTGAATAAAAAAACTTTCTTAAAGAAGGGTTTCTTTATCTTAGCCCATTTGCCTGTAAAAGCAAGGTCGAAAGAGCGAATTTTTTTCTGCTTCAAATACAGTAAAATTCAGTGGTCTTTAAATGCATCCTGTTACGCATAACCAGTACATATGTATATGGAAGTTTTCCAATATGCTTGCTCAGTCAATGTGGCTAGAGCGAGTAGATGCTTTTTAAATGAAATCATTGTTTTCTTATTGAATGAAAAGTAATACATTTCATTGCTCTTTTGCTTTTTTGAAATTGCGTCTCTAAGATTCTACACTAAAAATTGTGCTCGATTCCTTAAATAAGTTATCGTGTAGAGCGTGAAGCTACTCAGTCGCAACCCTTTCCGTTGCCCGATTCAGTGGAGCATAACTTGGAGTCTTAACTAGTGGCTCGGCCTTATAATAATCTGTCTGGTATTCTGCTTTGGTCCGGATTGTGCCACTATTTTATTCTTTGGGAGTTCATACACATTATTATGAGTAGAATGATTAGGCCCCGGGACGAAATACAGCTGAAACGACACAGAGCTGTGGCAGAAACAGACGAATATCATAGGTATATTTTATTTAACACATTGTTGCTGCATCGGTTTACAAAGTGAAGGGCATCCACAAATGAAACAACAATAATACCCATCTATAACAGATAAACGGCTATCTGTAGCCCGTTGTTCATTACATAAATGCTTGGAGTATATATAGTTTTAAGTTTTAACATCAGCAGATAAATAGTAAATTTTGTACCTCGTGTTTACTGACAATTTTAAAAGTTGAAGACTGCTCGAAAAACTGAATGCCCAGCCTCTATAGAAAACAATTGCACATAAACATAGCCGTACCTACGAAGAAACGCGCCCTTACTCCTCACAGAAACACCATAATTAATTTGACAAATACAACTTGCGGTCAGCCGCCCGTCAGTAGCACATAAGTTACACCCAAACACACTCAATCCTAGCGTTGGCCTATGCGGGTGACATTGGTCTCTTCTCGTCTATGGTCAGCAGGGGTCTATTATTTGCCGCTGATCCGGCGGATGGCCATGTCGAATTTGTCCGTCTCGTGGGCTCTCCGCAGCGCCTGCAGACAGCCTTTGAAGTACTCGGTGGTGAAGCACTCGGACCTGAAACGAACACGGCGCTGAGTTCAACCGTTCTGCGGTCGTTTGTTTGTCGCAACAACGCCTTTTACGTGATAAAATCGGCTGTGAGGCGAGTCGGAAGAACTGAGAACAGTGTATGAATAAGAGATAAGTATTTATCTTCATTTTGGCAAAAGTTATCTTCTATATTTCATATCGCCTCCAAAGAACATTTTAGATACTGTGGCATCCAAATGTAAACCATCCGAGTTCCGACTCCTACAAACTTATTTCATTCCGATAGCAACTTTAGCACCGTTCACAATCAACTCTGACGTCACTACAGGGTGTCCCAGAATTACCCGGACATTTATTTTCTGGCTAAAAGTACGACTGCGCTCGCTTCTAATGATATACAAGCATCATACTTTTATAAGATATCCCTTAGCTATCGAGATTGAGGACTGTGTGCTTTTGGTGGCCGGTAACGACTCGAATCAATTTTTATCCAGAGTCAAGTAAGAGTAGTCCTTTTCCGTTTTCAGCTTAAGCCATTAATAGGCAACCATGGTGAATCAACTCCCGTTCTCAACTTTGTAAACGGACTTTCGGCATGGTTTTTGCTGGAGAGCTTCAGCAGCTCATCTGCAAGCAGTTAGGATTGAGCAAAGCGCAATTATATCAGCTAACGAAGCCAGAGAGAGCAAGAGATAAACCTGATTGACAAGCTTGGGCTCGGCCAAAAAGGGCCATGCACCAGTTGTCAAACAAGTGGTTGCTTGTCATAGACAACAAACGTCACCGATCTAGCTAAAAACTAGCTAAACAATAGATCAGGATTATCTACAAAACATCAGTCTACTTTGCACCACTATCTTCGACAAAATTTTGGAATTTGGGGTCCTTCTCCAGAAAAATATGCGAACACTACGGGAAAAGCAGCGCAAATCACTACAATTCATTCCAAAAACATAACATATACAGCAAAACAGTATATTGAGGCACACTTTGTGGTCTAACGAAGGTATTATGTCATTTGAACCGCCCGAAAAAGGCTTGTGTGAACGTCAGATGGCTACAACGCCCCAACAGCAGAGACGGCCAGGCACCCGTCGAAAATCAAATTGTGAGACATTTTGAGCCACCGTGCACTCATTGGGCTTGATATGATGGCCCAAAGACAACCGTTAGCGCAGGGTACTACTGCGGTAATATTCTATACCAGTGCGAAAACTGGATGCCGTGAACCAAATGGCCATGAACGTGTTTGTTTTGGAAACCAAATCTGTTGGAAGTCAAAGGTTGCGCAATGTTCAGACATGGAGCTTCTCCACCCCAGATGTACCTAAAAAAAACGCAGCAAAAGTGGCGTAGGCAGAAATTTTTATTTTGGGGGATAATACCTTATGGCCTGGGAACACTTTGATGTCAAGTTTACCTTATATGATCGTATTATCCTCCGGCAAGAGGTCAAAGAAAACAGGCCTACACCCAGTTTCGGGAGACCCGTAAAACAACTGAGACCAGCAATGGCTGGCATTTTCCCTCATTGTCGGCTGATCTTGTAACAAGCGTATCTATTGCATGTGCTATTTCACAGCCACCCTAGTTGACTATATAGGACGGTAAAAAGAAAAAAGCGCAATCATGTTTGCCTTATTTTATACGCTAATTAACAATGTCCGGGTAATTATGGGACACCCTGTACATAGTACATACGACGTCACTCTGAGGACCATGTCATACGCACCGGCAGAGGCCATGCAGCTCGGGCTCCTGATAGAGTCCGTAGCACTCCTTGCAGACGGCGTTCAGCTCGTGAAAGGTGACCTTGTCAAACACTCCGCGACACTGCAGGCCGAGGAAGGAGCGCTTGTTCTGCAGTGGGTGACCGAGCTCCGGGTCAGCTTCCATCAGCTGCGCCCGGCCGCCGGCTGGGAGGGTGACGAGAAGCGCGACAGCGGCCACGACGAGCGTCGGAACGTAGGTGTGTGAGAGCAGCATCCTGGGGGCGGGGGCGGGCGTCAGGGGCGCTCAGAAGAGGGGGGCGGGGGGTCACACGGTACAAGTCGGACCCGATACAGTTCGGCAGCGTGTTGCAAAGTAGATGCATCAAAATGTGTCGTTGGAACTTTATATCTTGCTTGGTAATAGGTACGTTACAGAATCCGGAATATGGATGAATAATGAGTGTGACATGTGAAAACCGAGACGACCAGTTGCAGGCCCAGTACCTACCTATACCTACCTTTGATATCAGTTATCACACTCCGATTTGTGGATCTGGAAAGGTGGCATAAATACCTACTTATACTTTTGGGATATAAGTTTCATCATTACTTTGGAGTTTGCTTCCTTCTGTGAAGTTAATTCAGGACAACTTTTTATGATAAAAATTGATAGGTTTGATGGCTCATGTTTACGTTATGTTTTACAGGCCTCGTTTCTTCGCCAATCGGTGGGCAGATGGCGCACCGCCGCTCCTTGGGTGCAGGCCTAGCTTACCGTAGATGTCGCTGTCAACCCGCTCTCGGTCAAACTGCGTTCCCTGTCCTCGCCTCATATTCCACCTCACCATGGTATTCGGGACGGAGTGCATTTGTAATGGCGATTCCGTTCCATTACGTGCCAATTACATCAGGAGCCCTGCTATTCTTTGACACCTCATCGATGGTTATCAGAAAGCCTTTTCAAAACTGCCGTCTTTATGAGGTTTTCTTTAATGTCCACTTACATTCGACAACAAAAGCCACTTCACGCAATGGATAGATTTTTCCGTCCTCTCACGCAGACCAGCCTATCGACACTTTTTGTTTGCTATGAACTGCTCGGATTGATCGCTATCTCACTGCAGACAGCCGGTGAAAAGTCAAATATAATAAAAGTACACCTCGCTGGGGCATACTGTTTGGATGACTGGGTTATTCAGTGAGAGTTATTTAGTTGTGTGTCAGATAATGAAGATTGATTTAAAAACTTTAATGGAAGCTAATCAAAGCGTCGACTCCTGAATTCTGGAGCCGCCTCTGAGTCCTTCTCTAAACACAAAACTGGACAGGACCGACTATCTCTATGCCAGCTCGGTATTAAATACAAACAAAACTGGTCTGCTGAAGCCAACTGAAGCGACTACCTCAACACGCCGCCCGTCAATTCTGGTTTAGAGATGACAGTCTTGTCTGTATAAATATTTGGGCCGCACAGTGCAGTTTCTACTTTCTAGCCATTGTTTCATAATATCCCATCAGATTTATCACTGGATTACGCGCAATGCGTGGGAGCTATCGAGTGACACGTAACTTTTAAAGCCTTTTTTTAACGTCTAAAAGATATCCAATGATTTGTCAAACCTCAAACGTTGCTTGTTCAATTCATTCAGCCATTCGATATAAATGTGGAACAAGAGATTCAGTATATTTGATCTAAATAACTAGATAATTTTCATCTAAGTTACAGTTAAACTAGGGGAGAGTGGGGCAAAGCGGCCACCCGGGGCAAAGCGGCCACCCATCGTTTTAGCCCTCCACATCTGGCGTCAGTTCCAATTTATGGTTTCTAATTATACTTCTCTTCGCGGCCGTTCGAATGAGCCAGACCGTGGTTTCACGCCCATCACCATTGTTCTGTGGAAAACAGAAAAGCATTTCTTGCCAGGTTACCAACTATGTTTACAGTTTTTAAATGTTATTTTATTCAATAACCATTTGGAATTTTTATAAGCGTTCTTGTCCATGCATTGTGTGGTTATCGTACATGACTCCTACCATTTTTAATGCTTTTTGCTCCACTTATAGCTGAGCTGGAATATTTTTGCCTGGGACGGTATGCGCGGGGCAAAGTGGCCAGCCCCCAATTGGCCATAACTTGTTTCCATCTGGATAAAAACACTATTTATATTCAAATGTGTCGTCAGGCATTCAGTTTGGCCATTTTTCGGTTACAAGAGTTACCAAATAATGCAGTTAAATGTTTTTCCATGAAAATCCTTTATTTGTTTATCTACAGGTGGGAAGATTTAAACATCCATCCTCGGTTAAACTTTGTCACCATCAAATACCCTAGTCATATATGAGGCAACTATTCATTTTCTCATATCGGGACTTCAGAAGTCGCCGGTGGCCGCTTTGCCTCAGGGATGGGGCAAAGTGGCCAATATGCTATAGGTTTAAAGTTTTGTCAATATCTCCCATATGTGAACGCCTTTGGAAATGAAACGCAGTTGGAATAAAAGGCAATTTAATAGAGATCACATTGGTATAGAAAGAATCTTTCCAAGTTAAGAAATCAAGCGTCGGCATCGTAATAAGCGTTAGGGTGGCCGCTTTGCCCCACTCTCCCCTACATTTCATAAGAAAACACCTCAAACTATGTCCTGACATTCTTCAAAAGACACGAAAATGACATTCACCGAAAGAAAAGTCATTTTCGTGTGAAAAGTGTAACACCGCTATATGGTAGGTAATTACCAATGGGACGTCATGACGGTATGTGATAAAACAATGAAATCGCTTGTATGTTGAATTAAATATCTTAGTTAAACGCCTCGCTCACCGTTCTGACGTTTCAGTTAAATATGAAATATTATATTTCTAAGGGCCGGTTCGTAAACTCACCTTAAACTGTGAGACTGTATGGGGTAGGCTTGAAGTCTGATCCTCTCCCAAGCAGTTCAGCAGGAAGCTCTCGAAGACCTCTCGAAGCTCCCCGCTGCTTTCTTGCAGCTCGCTCGAACGGTGGGACTGTGTGTGTGCCATTTGATACGGCGCCCGAGGCACTTATATACACCTGCGCCCCGGCACTGAAGCCCACTCGAAGCTGGTGCGCGGATACTTCCAACCGTTTCCCTGCATCCCGGAGGGACTTGAGATGCATTCGTGTCATCAATACATAAATTGAGATTTTGATCACCGAGTCATAGGGTTGCACACTTATACGGTGAAATAAACGTTTATCAATGAATATCAACTCGGAGTGTTGCGACGCAGACGATTGCTACGCTGTTTTGACACTTCTTTTGGATTTGGTTGCTAGTTGAGCTGGTTTGACATTCATGGGCTATTGGGCTCATATGCACTCTGCAGTCATTAGGATATTTTAGCTGCTACTGGAGCAGTTTTCCTCTATACCTATCCTCGTACCTACTTTGTACAAAACTCAGACCAATTGCATCACCACTGGGCACTGGGTTATGTATGCACACTATTTGTTTCAATTCGAAAAAGACATTCGTTTTAAGCGATGGGTTATCTGCAGGCTCCAAATCTGCCACGGCGAATTTATTAAAGGTTACCAATGCCTTGATAGCGCCCGGGGGGGAGGGGTCTCCACCAACTTCGCCATGGGGGACAATGGACGTAGGTATTTGGCCAAACCCGATTATATAAAATAAAACTAAGATAGCTATAACGCCGCGAAAAAGCAATAACTCGCATATAAGATTTTTTCGGAATTAAAAAGCTGATTTTTCGATCAGGTCATTGCTGAGGAGTCTGAGGTCACTGGAGGTCACCGAAGACAAAATTATCAGAAAAAAAAATCCCCGATTTGACAACTTTTCACAAATCGGCGAACAACTCATGAACCAAATGAGGTAATGTTTGCTGCTGTTTTTTATGTTTCTGTAAATATCTTGTGGGTTAGACATATCTGTTCAAAACCAGGAGGCACTTGCACTTTTCTACCATTTGTGTAAAGGTGAGGTCACATATCTGCCCTGACCCCAAGTTACAGACATGGACAATACGAGATAAAAAAATTAGTTGGTATTGCTATCCTCATACTGTTCACCGACTTTCCAAATTTTTGAACATAAACTGTAGGAATAACAGAATCTTTTTAGAGGCATGGCCACTTAACTTGGCCTGGTGACCTGATCTTAGGTGGCTTGAGTTTTAAGTTTATAGACATGATGCAAACCCGATGCATGATTAACTTTTCCAGGTTTTGCGGCTCAGCGCGCCGGAGTTTTTTTCTTACATACGCAAAAAAGGCTGGAGAATATGGCCAAAACGCCCCCTTCCCCGGACGCTGAAGCAGTGTCGAGTCCGCTGGTTCTGCCATCGGCCTGCGCAGGGTGTCGCCGTCCGACACCCTGATCCCCACCGAGACGGAGGTTAACATCATAGGCGGCGGAACGGGGGGGGGGGGCACCGGGGCACCGTGCCCCCTTGATTTTGCCATTTTAACGTTAGCCCTATAGGCATTGTATGGAAAGAATGAGACCAAAAGTCGGCAGTGCCCCCCCCCGCCTAATTGAAGGTGTTCCGCCGCTACTGGTTAACCCGGCACCGCCTGGGCTATTTCCGTACCCACGACAGCCTGGGGGGGGGGGTCGGATCCGACCCCCCCCCCTGTTATCTCGAGAACCAATGGTCGTATCGAGCCCCGCGAGGCGGCGTTCGAAAGGTCTCTACGAGACCTTCCCAAAGCACTCTTAAGATTTTAAGATTGAGGTCATGTTTCGGGTCAAGGTCAGGTCAAAGGTCAAATTCAGGGGTTTTGCATGAATCGGCTTACGGACAGCGGAATCGATAGCTGCTGCTCGAAACTCACCAAAAATGACCTCAAAGGCCTAGTGAAGGTACCATGTGCGTATAGGGGTCATACTAGGTACAGGTCAAGGTCAGGTCAGGTCACGAAAGGTCACGGTTTTCACTTTCTGCTACATGGGCGTGCGACACATGTTTTATGGCTTATTTTTCACGCCGAATCCGATGGTAATGGTTATATGTGACCCCAAGTCACTGTGCTGGTGATAAGTGTGCATTGAAAGCATAAAAAATCGTTTATACTATGCATAACTAAACGAGGGCTAAGAAAAAAGGTCAATTTTTCAACTTTTTATTTTTGACATAAAAATGCACTTTTCTAGACGAACTTTGTCCCAGGAATCTAGTGGTGCCATTTGTTTTCACATGCGATGTTCAGAAGTGCCTCTAATTCACGAAAATGCTTATGACGTCACCATGCCCTATGCATGTTGGAGCTATTTTTTACAATTTGGGGGTCAAAAAATCAAGATAGAAAGTTGAAATGTGGGGTATCTAATTTTCTAATAGAGCTCTATAACATATATTCCGGTTTTTTGGAAATTCCCAAAATTTTGGATTTTATTAGCTGTTTTCCAAAAAATATAGTTTTTTGAATTTTTAGGGGTGAAAAACGCATTTTATGGAAAATCCGAGATAGCCATTTTAAAGAACTCGTTAAACTGCGTCTTTTGATGTCCTTAATTTGCAATTTGCTTCAAACCCTGATTTTTGGCGATTTTTTAAACATTTACCACTTTTTGACTAAAAACGCCATGTAGTTACATCACTAAAATCGATATATCTCAAAATTTTTTGGAAATTTTTTCTTAAAAATTGCACAGGAGACGTCAAATTGATGGGGGAGAAGGTATGACAAGTTTCAAGTAGATAGCGAAAGTGGTTCATGAGTTATTCAAGAAAAACGGAGGGGGGGTCGGATCCGACCCCCCCCCCAGGCGGTCGCGGGTTAACATGTCGCATAATTAGCAACATCTGCTAATAGAGTAGCTCCGGGTAATAGTCCATTTAATTACGTCTCCAAATCTCTGCAACATTTTTCATTATTCTCGAGATTCAAAGATCTCGGAACTTTTTAGATACCATCTCAGGATTGCTTATATAAGAGTATGATATCTATAATAACACACCAGGATGCAGCCCATAAAACTGAAACTGAGGATGTCTTATTTATGTCTATATCAATTACACCAATGGAGCATGGCTGGATGTTCTCAGCATTCTAAGCCATGTGTGTTACCTAAAGATTCGCCGCAGGCAATGGCCCCGTCCCCCAAGGCAGCCTTCTATGTGATTGGGCTGCATTATTCTATGAAGATATACCTATCTACCAAGCTTCAATTTCATTTCCTTATGCAACAATGCCATCAATCAAATATATACTGTGGCAATATGTAGGGTAGACCGGGGCAAGTCGCCCCGCCGAGGTAAAACGCCTCGCCGATGTTTCTCGGAACTGGCAGAGTTCTGGGGAAAACATCCTCTCTTCTATAAAACGTGCACTATATGATCATTATATGAGCAGACTGGAAAGAAATTGTGATGACTCTTTCGGGAGACATAGCCAAAAATGTGTTTTTTGAGTGATTTTTATGTTTTGTTGTCAGATTATGCATCATGGCGTTCTTTTATGGGCCACATCAGGTTCACGACTTTTATGTATTTTGAACAACTATTGTCTAACGCTTATCATGCCGGGTTGGTTCGTGTTCAATTATGTCTTGCTGGAGTGCAAAGCGTTGTTCTCTGACCCAACTACGTGATGGGGTAAAACGCCCCAGTAGGTCGCGGGGCAAAAAGCCCATGGGGCGTTTTACCTCATGTGTTGTTCGGGCTACCCACTTTCTAATGTTCGGTAGCTGGCGAACAGTAAGTTTCTATGCCTTTATGTGTATTTTTCCCAGCAACTGGATGGCAAAGGAAGTATTCTGTAAACATTTGCATTGCAATTTGCAATAATTTATTATTTGGTCTTATGAGGCAGGTGAAAACCTGCTCATACAATAGTGTCATAGCTGAACACCTGACAGGATGGAAAGTGGTAACTTCAGCGCCGTGCCCTCAGAGGTGTAACGGACCTCTCACATAAGATTTAGCCAACTACCACGTTAAATCTGTAATCTAAAGCTACTTGCCCCATGCCGTGGGGCGTTTTGCCCTGGGGTTGGGGCAAAATGCCCCATTTGCAGTTGCTTCACAAATCACTTCCTAGCTTGGAGTCCGATCACAAGTGAATGAATTTGAGGGGTGCAATTTAAAGTAAAATGTCCAAAGAACGCATTGAGCACAAATTTGGCCTTCCAGGTGATTTGGGACAAAATTTATGCGGCAAAATGAATTATCTGGGGCGTCTTGCCCCAGGCTACCCTACATGAAATTAGTGCATAACGGTTCCATTTCGTTTATTACGGAGTGAGCGAAGCGAGCGGAGTCTCATACTGAATTAAGGGAAAATCCTGAGTATGAGCGGCCGGCCGTGGGGACGCTCTTCAAAAGCTAATATCTTAGGAACGGGACATCCGATTGACAAGCGGTCTTCTTTACTGAATGTCACTTGGACGTAAAAGTTCTGTGGTGTGATGGCCACCATGCGTTCTTGCCAACCACCGCACGTGGCGCGTGGTAAAGTTGGACATTTTTTTAAGAACCCCCAAAATTGCAACCTCAATAACGGCACAACGGTTGGGCCGATTGAATTGAAACTCGGTACACAGTTAGGTCTCCATCAGACAATTCATCTGCATGTGTTAAGGTTGGGGTGCTACAGCACGTGCGCACGTGCAGGGGGCGCTCCCAGATCTCGAGAACGGCTGGGCCGATTGCGCTCAAATTTGGTACACGGTTGGGGACCAGTTAGTAGGGTGCCGTGCAAAAGTCAGTTTGGACCCCGCTTGCACGTGCGCACGTGCAGTGTGCCGCTTCCAGATCTCGAGAACGGCTAGGCCGATTGCGCTGAAATTTGGCACATCGCTAAAGACCGGTTAGTAGGGTGCAGTGCACTAGTTAGTTGGAGGTACCCCCTCGCAATTTCGCATGTGCGAGGCCCATCGTCTCGCTCGCTCCGTTGGTCGCCCAAAAGGCGTTTTACTGGTTCTACATTTAGTAAATGTCTACATTTTCGGGGTAACACCGCCCATTGGGTAACACCGCCCAAGCTCATCAGGTAACGAAATTTGCAGGTTGTTGAACTATTAATTTTTTTTTAAAGAACATTAATTTTTTTGAACTATTTAATGGCAGCACGACAAAAATGGCGCCCGAGCATTGAGCAAAAGCACGAAATGTTTGGATAGGTCCTAATTATAGCAAAAA